GGTTGGTAATTAAAATTGAGTAACTAAAATTGGAGGCTAAAATGGTGCAAGATAATAACTGGTTATGTGTTTAATCAGACGTTAACTGAACACATGAAAACTTGAGGCATTTCATACACATTAGTGATGAAATGGTCCACGTTTCCAAGGTCATCTTTTTCCTTGATCAATTCATGAAAGGGAGGTTTTTGAGTCTTGTTTTATGTGTTAGTATGCAACCGACATTATTCTTACAATTTTTGGCTTCTTCGTTGTTGCTGGGAGTGTCTTTCATATATCAAATACACTATTTGCATTAGGAATTTAATAGTTCAATTACTATCCCACATCAGCATCTGCGTATTACGTCACCAACACAACCAATAACACAAACAGACAAACTGTTGTACTCCAACCAACATAACCCATCTAACTACATGGTCATTGCACAACCACAAACCCAACACTATCCACACCATGTTCACAATCCAAAATTAAATCAATCAAACAATAGATACTAACATCTACTACGAACCAATCCCAAAATCACATTCCTACCACCCACACACAACAACAAAAACACAGAAACCAACTTAACAACATGAATACATTAACATTCCACCATTATCGAAAATTAACATCAACCCAAACCCCATAATTCCCCATCACAGAGTATCGTAAAGCCCAATTACATTAACATTGCAATTTATTCAGTCTATAAACACAACATTGCACCTTTTGTCTTCAAAAAAATATGAAACTGTTGTATTCGAATTCATTACAAAGTAACATCATCAAAATCTAAAAAAAAATCCACCATTTCACACATAACAAAACCACGATGTTGTAATAAACCACACAAAAAAAAATCAACATGAAACATTTCCATACCTGTTGCCCTCGCACAATGGCGACCACATGAACGCCGATTGACGAACGATGTTAGCTCGTTGATGTTACGGCCACACGGACGATCACAAGTTCGGAATCCTCAATGCCCACGCCAACTCGTCTTCTCAAATGTGCTACAAGGGGGGGTTTTTTTTTCTAGGGTTTTTGTGGGTGGTGTACAACGTTATTTCAGGAATGAATATTCAAGTTCCAACATTGCCAAATTAGATGCTTCAATCACCCAAGATGAGGATCCAATCACTAACATTGGAATAGAAACCCAGAAATTTCTATTCTATCTCGTCCGTTTTGTTTGAGATTGAGAGAAAACAAAAAAAACTATAATACACTTTTGGGCATTTTTGTAACTACAACATCACCAAAAACCCACATTTACCCCCTAATAAAGACAAGTCACATGCAAAATTTATGGGTTGCTATGTAATTAACACTTAAATTGGACTATTTAGTCTATAGAATAAAAGATATAGGACTAAATGGTTCAACACATTTACATTTGGGATTTATTGGTGTTTTACCATATAACTAATAAACATATTTAAGCTGTTCTTAAAGTAATATAAACTATTTTGTAGGGAGCTAAATTAAAAAACGTGTTAAATAAGTATATAAATTAAATAAAATATATTAATAATTAGGTTGGGCTGGGTTTAAAAACTATTTTCAAACCTAACTTATTGAATAAATGAACTTGAAAATTCAATGCAAGCCCAACCTTATGAACTTAAATATAAATTCTAAACTTCTAAAAATATGACTTTTCTTTCTTTCTTTCTTTCTCTCTTTTTTTTTATTTTTTTATTTTTTATTTTTTTTTATAAGATTTGAAGAATATGAGTTGTGTTGGACAATCAGATAGGCCACTGAGCTAGTGCACTCCTCTAATTGGAGTTCAAATTGTCATAACCTGCTACATTTCCTACAATAGAACCCCTATTTAAATAAAGATTGGAGGCATGAAGGTAATAGAAGATTCTAGAACCTCCTAGAAAACTTGAGAAAATAATAGTCTTCTTGTACATACATCTAGAATGATGTACACATTTGTATAATATATTTATATATAGAATTCTATAACCTTCTTGTAGGATAAGGAAAGCTTCCATGAGAAACTTCTCCATAGTTCATTTCTTGTATATTCTGAAACATTCTAAAGAAGGCTTAAGTTGCTTATAAATAGGAGAAGAGCTCATTTGTTTCAATACACAATCCAAGACTTGTACATTTTCCCTAAAGTGAATACAAGAGTATTCTTCAAACTCTTTTTGTGTTCCTAGCTTCTCATGTTGTAATTCACTTGGGTTAGGCTGACTTAGCATCATCAAGAAATGAACTATGGAGAAGACACCCTCTCGAAACCCACTCTCATGAAGTGGATTGCGAAAACCCCCTTTCGGGTATCCTCGATTCTTTCACTGTCGAGGTTGTTGATTCATTACTTTCATCTTCATCACTCTCTTTCCTTCTGCTTCTTGTTATTGATTTCAACAAACCATGAATCGTAATTCCGGTAATTACCCATTTCTTGCCCACTTATCTTTGTTTCCTCCTTCCAATTGATGCTTCTTTGAAGAACCCATGTGTGAATCAAATTCAAATTCATTTTGACAATCCTTCATAGACCAATTTCTGACTTTTATCTAGTAAGTTTTGTTTGGATATGTATGTATATATCTATATATATATTTTTGTTCATTTTTCATGGATTTCTCTCTTAAATTTGTTTGGATGCTCAAGAAATTGAGTCAAAAAAGAAGAAAATTAAAAAGAAAGCATAAGTTTTTGTTACTTTATGTGCTTTTACAAACACTTGTTCGCATGTTATGTATATATGTATATATACATACCCAGACAAATGTTATAATGGTCTCTATAACATTAGAAATAGAGATTAAAGGTGGTGAGGAGGACCAAAGAAGCCTCAGTTGTTGGTATAGAGGCGGTGGCCCTCCGGCGACTAAAACCCGTGTTCCTCCGCCATAGCTACAAAATTGGAGAAATATTGGAACAAATTCAAACAAAGGGGAGAGATAAAAAGGGAGAGAGAAATGGATTTGAGAACTCTGTTAGGAAACCAAGAGTTCAAAAGGATTTTATGTGAATTAAAGCCATTAAAATTAATAATAAACCCATCAAAACACCAAAATACTCTCACCCACATCAGTTCTAAGTCCATTAAAACACAAAAAAGAAAAAGAAAAAGAAAAAGAAGAGAGAGGGCTTTTTGATACTAACCATATGGTGATGATTACAGTGGGGACTCTAGAAATTTTTATAAATGTAGTCACTTCACAAGTTTGAGTTTTTGGTGTTTTATTGTCTTTAGAATTTGTTTTTCAATAGTTCAGTCAATATATATATATATATTTTTTTAAATGCACCTAATCTATATATACTTAAAACATAAAATATTTAAGAAAAATTCAGAAATTATATTGAATTTTTGTTTTTTTTATATTTAATGATTTTTTAAAATATTTTATTTTTTAATTGTATCAAGATTAAGTGGATCGAAAAAGTAAAATAATTTAGTTAAAATATTTAAAGCGTTAAATAAAAGATTAAAAAAATTATAAAAAATATAAAAATTCAAAAAATATTTTTATAAATGGTTAATCAAATAGAGTGCTTTAAACTTATGAAATAATACGTCTTTAATTGGTGTAAATCATTATTTGATGGACTACCTTAATTTTGTAATGAATGTTTAGTGCCATTTTATTTTTAGTTTTTCGTTTATACATACAAAAATTTTAAAAATTAATTTTTCGTTTATACATACAAAAATTTTAAAAATTAATATAACAACTCATTTAATAAATTTTTTTTTGGATTTATAAATAGTTAGTCTTATCTTAGAACATCTCTAATGGTTGTTACTTTATTGCCATTGTTATTGTCATAATTTGACAATGAATAGTGTTATTTTGCCAAATTATAGTAATAGTGTTCCAATAATCATTTGCTATTTTGGCAAATCTCAACCAACTTTTCTTCTAAATTTGTAGATGTTGTTTGGATATAAGTTTTTTTTGTGAGTTTATTTTTGTTTATTTTTTATTTTTTGTGACATTTTTTTAACTGTTTGTAAAAAAATTATATATTTACATTATTTTCGATTAGACAAATATAAAAATTAAAAAAAAAAATATTTAATGTCTTTTTATCATAATAAAATTATTTTCATTTAATGTCAATTAATTTTTTTTATTTTTTTATTGCCTTCATTTCAAAAAATATATTTATTTTTTTATTATATTTTATTGAAAATTTTAAATTATTTTTGTTTTTTTTTTTAACTAAACAGAACACAATGGCTATGTCTAGTTTCATCACCACCGTCCACGTATTGGCCATCAACAGTTGAGATGATTTGGGTAGAATCATCCAACCTTTTACTCTTCTCCTTCTCACTGTGTCTCACCATTTCTTCCTCCTCCCTCTCAGTCTCCGTCTCTCTCTCTCTCTCTCTCTCTCTCTCTCTCTCATTCTCAGATATCATGTATCTTCTCCCTTCATTACCACCGTCCACGTGTTGGTCATCGATGGTTGAGATGATTTGTGTAGAATCATCCAACCTTTTATTCCTCTCCCTCTCAGTGTGTCACACCATTTCTTCCTCCTGCCTCTCAGTCTCCGTCTCTCTCTCTCTCACTCTCTGATTCAGATATGATGTCTCTTCTCCCTCCATTACCTGTCGAAACTCTCTCTCTCTGAAAGTCTCCATCTCCCTTTTAGTCTCACTCTCCCTCTGACTCTGAACCAGTCTCACTCTCCCTCTCACTCACACTCTCTCTCTCTCTCTCCAAAGACCCACTAAGCTTTCCTCCTCCATCTCCCTCTCAGTCTCTCTGTCTCTCTCTCTCTCTCTCTCTCTCCCTGAAAGCCTCCATCACTGGAGATCAGTAGATCAGAACATTCCTTCAACCTATTTCAGTAGATCAGTAGATCAGAACATTACTTCAAACTACAGTGTACTTCAACCTATTTACTTAAATCCAGGTATTTATTGTTTAAAATCTTCTTCAAATTTATTGAATTTTTTTTTTCGATTGATCTATTTCAGATTTAAAAAAATTATGCTTCAGATTTATTTTTTTCGATTGATCTATTTCAGATTTTTTTTTTCAATTGATCTGTTTGTGTGATTTTGGAAATTTGGAAATTGTTGGGTGAATATTGTTTGGAAATTTGTGTGATTTTTGGGTGAATATTGAAACTGTGTTTGGAAAGGATGATGAAAGAAGGAGGGAGGGAGGAAACGGTTGGTTGAAGCTAACTTGGCAGCTTGTGCTATATTTGACACAAGCTTTGGCATTTGCCAAAGATAGCAGCTGCTACAAGTTACCATTGGAGGTACCTTTCTATCAACTGCTGCCATAATTTGGCAATAGCAGGTCGAGCCGCTCTTAGTCTATAACCATATATAAAAAGCGTGAAACCTTAAGCGTAAATCCAACGCTGTATATGACTTGAGTACCCTCAAAACTCTCTCAAATTACTGGTTCACCCTACCACCATTGTTGGTTATACAAATCTGAAGCCATATGGGTCTTCAATCTATCAGCCACATGGTCTCATGAAAGACAGCTGGCAGTGTCGATGCTATGCTACGCAAACGACTTTACTCAATTCATAGCTCTGTATCGACGATTTGCTATGGTTCTCTGTATTTGTCTGTGTCGACGCTCGCTGTTCTCTGTATTTGTTTACGTCGACGCTGTTCTTTGTATTTGTTCTTTCACTGATGAGATCCTCCTGGCCACCGCTATCCACTCTATCCAACCCCCCCTCTCTCTCTCACACACACAAACCCTTGATTGCTTTGGTTTAGGTTTTGTCATTCTTCACTTATTTGAGCAGTCAAATTCAAGTTGAAAAACCTGTAAGAGCTATGAATTTTTTTATTAGCAATTCTCTATAACATCGTGTGTTCAATTTTCTATGATATATATGTATCTATGTTCAATGATTATTTTGTATTTGATAGACAATGGTCTTGCTGGGCATACGAAACTTGTGCGTAGAAGCTATTTGAGGGTTTGTCAAAGAGACTAATATTTCATTGGCTCCAAGGTTTGACATAGATATAAATATTGTTGTGGTATATGATTTGTTTGTCAGTAATTCTTCATATGGTATGTAGATTCAATCATTTCACTTTTTATTTGAGTGAAACATTTGTCTAACCTTTCTATTTTGTTAGGATTTCCCCTCTTGTTTGTAATAGGAAACCACAAGAATTCGGCAAGTCAGGTGTTTGAAGATATTTCTGAGAGACAACCTATCAACCCAGTGTTGTTGAAAAACTTATTGTGTACCATTAGTATGCAATAATAGAACAATCCATCTTCTTAGTACCCAAAAGGCAAAAAAAGTAAGTGAAGAAAAATTTAGAATTGAAAATCGGCCCTAAAAACTGAATATTCAGTCCAATATGACTTCTAAAATGTTTCAGTCAATAGCTACAGATGCTATCTATATAGTTCCCTTTTTATGTCTATTTATTCCATTGTCTCAGCTCAGGTCTTAAATAGTAATGTAGTTTGGTTCACTTGAATTGAATGAAATGGAATGTTATTCTTTAACCTCCTCATAAAATAACTATTCTATTTGTAATATATTTTCCATCAATTTTTTAGCAAATCAAATGATCATCCTAATTAATTTCAGAAAATAATACAGAACATAAAAAATTTTAAGAATTCAAATGAGATACTGTAAAGGGAAGGGAGTGTGGTATATCAATACTGTGCAACCAAATCCATAATAGGTTTTTTTTTTTTATTTTTTTATTTTATTTAAGTACTGACTCACCTATAATAGATTTTAATTTGTTTATTTATTTTTGGTGTAGGAACATTGCTTTTCTCCTTGAGTATATGTTTTTTCCCTTTTAATTAGCTTTTCTCTTTGCTTTGCCGGAGTGAGAAAGTATATGTTCATGTCTATGTGTTTTCTATCTAAATGTTCATGTCTCTGTTTTTTTTCCCCAAGTTATTAATTTTTAAGGAAATCGTTATATTGCCATGGACATCATTGATACTTTGCTGCTTAGTGTCTTTTACTTCTTTTAGTACCCCAAAATTTGTACATCCTGCCATATATGGTTGCTCCTGTTTTGTATACGATTTCCTATTTTAAGTTTTTGCTTGGCGGTTGATCTAATAAATTCTTGATAGCTTTTAAAATACAACTATTCACGGTCAGGTGTCTGGATATAAAATTACAAAACCAAACACTTTCAAGTTGAGGCACCACCGACTTGCAATGACCTCTAATTTATTCTACTTCTAGCTTTGTGTTGAACTGCAAAGGTATGTCAGAAGTGTATTTAACTTAATTGTTTCAGTACAATATCTAGCTCATGGAAATTCCAATCTCATTAGATGTCTTTGTTAATTTAAAAAATTGATTCATGTCTTATCCAGGTTCTTATCCTCTTCCTATGTAAGGTCCAACTTTGATATGTAGCAAAGTGCTAAATGCATTTGAAAAATGTCCAAAACTATATAATCTTTTGAGACGTCCTTGAGTTAGTGGGAACATGAAATAAGTATGTCAACCCGATTTCTTGCATGTGAAAAATGTCGAAAACTATATATATAGTTTCAACTTTGTTGCGTTAGTAGTTTCAAGTTTGTTTTTGTTTTCTTCTGTTGCTCTGTTTCATTGATTTCAGTTTTCGTTAAAGTGACTGGAATTGTTATTCTTCAAATTGAATGAAGGGTTCACTTTGTATTTTCGGTCGTTTTGTTTCAAGTACAAAATGACCCATTTTGTGTGTTGTCTCTATTGTTTTTCAATCAGGTACGAGGAAGACATTTTTGCATTAATTTTGTGTATCTAAGGCCTAGTTTGGGAAGACTAAATGAGTACATTTTTTGACTTTTTATGAAATATGGGTTTGGGTTGGGTTTGAAGTGATGTGTTAGAGAGGTGATATGACTTAAATAAGATGATGTGACTTAAATAGGTTAGTGACTTTTTGACTTTTTGTCTTTTTTCAATCATGCCAAATTTGGCCTAAGTTTGGATTTGTTTTTTATTCTGCAAATTTATGTAAAAATTAGCCTAAATTTAAATTGTTTTTTATTGATTGTGTCAATATATGCTTCTTCTTCTGCTGTTTAATTTTTCCACGAATTGGGTTTTTTGGCATTGTTCATTGCATCAAATATTGTTGGAGATGAAATGGGTGTGCTGCTATGGAAGAATTTCTAACTTTTCTTTTCTAGTAAAATGAAGCAAGATTTCTTTTCTACTTGTGTATGTACCCATGCATGTATGTAAATTGATTGTTCTGTCCACATCTTGGAATTTTTGGAACATGTTAAATTGATTTTCTTTTATATAGATAACTAATTGAATTTTCCTGCTATTTTACTTTTCTGTAACAATTTTTGTGGTTGTCTTAAGTTTTTAATTTGTATATGTGTAAATGTATGTGTTGATGGTGGGGAGATGTAATTGTGTTGTAGGGATGGGAACAAGGACGAAGGACTTGGGAAAGAGAAGCAAGGGATCAAAGGATATGTCAGGGTTAAGAACAAATAAGACATTGCAGGTTTGTTTTTGCTCTTCTTTTCTCTGATTTTTGTTTATTCTTCAAATTTATGCTCTATTTTGTTGCCTATTTCTAAAATTATTTTTGAAATAATATCTTCTTTAAAACTTAGCCACTTGTGTTGAGTATACATGTTGGCTCAGCCAACCAAAAGCCACCATGTTTTGCTACTAAAGTTACCATTGTTCGGTACACATATGTCTAGATACTTGTTTTTTAATTGATATATTTTGTAAAAAAACAAGGGGTGGTTTGGCTTGTTTCCAGGGGAAAAAATTATTGAAAATTATTGAAATTAATTTGATAAAAATAAATATCAAAAAAATATTTTTAAAAAATGAATTTTGATCTCCCAAAAGATAAAATTATATAACAGTGATAAGTATTTTTAATTTTTTTTTAATTTATTTCACCAAATTAATTTTTAGTTTAAAAAAACTGAAACAAGCTTTTAAAAACTAAATCAAACATGGTCAAAGTGAATATGCATGGGTTGGATTTATTTGGTTCTAATGTTTTTTTGAGTGGTTAACACAATGAAGAAATTAGCAATTGCTTTGGTTATACCCATTCAACTTAATCACTCAAGCAAGCAACCAATGAACAACAAAGCTCAAACAAGGTTACATATTTTTATGGTTAAACCATCTGTCAAACTAGACAATCTAATACATGATTTTCTGATTTGCAATTTTTTTTAGGATAAATTACCAATAAATCCTATTTTTGGGACTTATTCATTAAGTCATATTGATAAATTTATCAGCATCTCCTATTTTTATGAATAAACTTATAGTGATAAATTTGTCAATAGGATCTGTAGGTAAATAAGTCCAATTAATAGGTCTAATTGGTAAGTATCCTTTTTTTTCCCCCCTTCTATATAGAGATGATACTTAATTTGAATTTAACGCTCTCAAACTCAAAATTTTGTGTCTAATATTGATATTACGACCCTAAAATTATCTAAAAGCACCTTAATAATACTATATATTGTAATGTATCTTATTCTTAGTCAACAATAACATGACTCCCACGCGCTTTGGAGTCCAACTAGTTTATAAATAAGAATGAAAAACAAAAACACAAAATATATGTTTTTGATTTGAATTTAAAAAAAAAAATGTTATAGGCTCCAAATTTTCTACCAAATGAATAACTAATTGTCTCACATAGAAAATTTGGTATTCTTAGCATTGCCTTTTTTAAAAATCAAAAATGCAGAGCAAAAACTACAGAAGAAAAAAGAAAAAAATTGACTCGCAAGTGTTGGTTTGGTGTTCAAAACTAGTGAACACATTTTCCAATATATTTTACGGTAATATATTCTTTAACGGTAAAAAAAAAAAAAAATAGACCATCAAAGGCTCTCTTGCTTTATTCCTCGATGACTCTCTCGTTCTGGATCTTCTCTCTCTCTCACCAACAAACCCAGGTATCGAGAAATTTAAATTGTATTTTTGTAATTAAAATGGGTTTTTTGGTTTAATAAAAAAAGAATGAACTTAGGCCATGTTTGTTTGGACGGATTGGATAAGGGAATTGTAATCTATCGGACTGTAAATCTTAGGATACATAATCCCCGAACTATTTTGTTGAAAATGATGTGTATTCCATGTTTATTTAGTCATGAAATTAGATGTCAAGAAACTAAGAAGCACATATACGGATATGGGATAGGCGTCTAAAAAATTAGTATATGGGGCGGGGATATGTGTTTGTAATTTTTTTAAATTTTATTTATAATTTTAATAATGTAATATACATAAAAATAAAACCTAAAGCAAATTAATAAATAAAGAGAGATTCCTATTAAACAAAGATTTACTAACATTAAAGTTCTTAAAATTAAAAATTTAGTAAATAAATACTTACATTAAAACCATGAGGGGAAACTTAAAAAAAAAAGTGAAAAAAAAAGCAACCTAATAGATTAGGGAAAAAGTGAAAAAAAAAGAAAAGAAAAAGAATGAGAGTAGAGAGTATTGATCATTGAAAAAATATAAATATAAAATAACAAAAAATTGGAAAAAAAAAAAAACTTATTTGGTTTATTGAAATATAAAAAATAAAAAATAAGAAAAAAAATGGACACTTATTTGGTGTATCCCTCGTTATCCTTCGCATATACCTCTACTATCTGAAATTAAAAAAAAAAGGATATTTATTTGTTGTCGTTCGCATATCCGTATCCGATAAGTATTCGATACTTGTACAGCACCTTTTTTGGAGTATCCGTGCTTCATAGTTAGGGAATGACTATTCTATTGAATCATATGCTTATTTGGGATATTATGAAGAAGCATAAATGCTCAAAAGACTATTTTATCCTTTTGAATTGTTTACTAAATAATATGAATACTAAATATGAGTTACAAATTATATTTTATCTTTTGGCTAGAACTTTTAAAAAATTAAATAAATAGAACATCAATAAAAAATAAATAAATTTATTTTAATCTTTAGTTGAAACTCTTAAATTTTATTTTATTTTATTAAGTACAATAATCTGGAGGGCCAAAAATGTCATTTTGCCCTCTAATCCAAAGGAGTTATCTCACCATTTTGTATCCCACATCCCCATGAGACCCAACAATCCAACAAATAAGGGATTGATAGTTTGATTGGACTATTAGTGTCGGTTACATTATTGGATTATTACATGGAATGAATATGGAGTCCTATCCTACCCTCTAATCCCCCAAACAAATACCCGGGTTTACTACCCAGGTTTACTCTTCCCCAAATCTTCTATGTAGAGGTTGAGAAATCTTTCAAAACTTATTTATACATTTTCATGATAAACACAATTCTAGTTGGAAAAAGACAAATTTTAGGTCAAAATATCCCCACAAGTTACACAAAAATAACATCCCTGACACCTTTTTGGGGCCATTTATCTTCCATTCAAAACAAACAGAATGCAAATTAAGCTAATACGTTGTAAGGAAAAGGAATTGAACCGAGTAATAAAAATTAGTATATCTTAATTTAACTCATAATTAAATTTTAAATTTTGAGATTTTACTCTTTCTTTATTTTTGCTTGCTAGCTTTAGAATACCCGAGCATTCTAAAAACGAAAAATGATTTATTATTATTGTTATATATATATTTATTTATTTATTTTAAAATTATGCATAAGAATCGTGAACCTGTTGAACTCGACTGATCTGAATTGATTCAGGAATGATTGGTTTCGAAAATGTTAACAGTCAACTGCAATTGTAATATAAGTGATTTTTCAATTTTGTGATCGGCTAACAAATTGGGAAAATTCAAATTTGGCCAATCTGATCCGACTATGGGATGTTTTGAAAAGATGGTTAAAAGTTGACTTTTTAATTTTTTTAAAACTTTTTTGACTTTTTTTTTATGTGAGAGGTGATATGATTTAAAATTGATTAAAAGTTAACTTTTAACATTTTATTGAAATTCCCAAATGACCCCTATATAAATTAGAGCCCTCCATGTTGATGGCTTTTGATATTATCTTATCACCTTTATCTATGAGATTGATAAATAATTTTAACAATTCTATTAAAATTTTCATTAAATATTTACATGAATATAAATCTACATAAAACTTATATTATGTGAATCTCATATCTGTATAAAATATTTGATAATTTTTTTTTATAGAATTGGTTAAATTAATTTCTAGAATTAATCAGGGTTGACAGCTATACTCAAGTTCCCACACAATTTCAGCCTTTATGTCCTTTATTTATACTCCAATTCCAAGAAAAAAGAAGGCAACGTTAGGCCATCTCCGACGGTGCATCAAACCCTGCATCAGATTTGAAATTTGATGAAAAACTCACTTTTTCTCACTTCAATGGTTTCACCCAATTGATATCAAAATGAGAATTCACCAAAAGTTTCACCAAAATGAGAATGCGCTGGGTCTTTCACCAAAACACTATTTATTACCGTTGTATTTTCACTACCAGATGAGCAACCGGATGACCAATTTTAGCAAAATTTTGTATAGATTTTACACTGGGAGGTTGACCAACTGGACAACCTTGGGGTCGACCCCCCGGATGACCCTGAGCTTTTTCTTCTAGTGTCATAGAGTTTTTTCTTCTAGTGTCATAGTAATAGTCTCCAGAGAAACCTTTGGTTGCATCAGCTCTAAGCTACAACATCAGCACTAAAAAATAAAATATTATCGCTGGACTTGTATATAGCAATTTGTGTTTTGAAGTGGGTGTGATTGACATACTTGAAAGATCAAAACAATCGGCAGCTCTGGGGCTACCCATAGAAACAGCTTCTTGTTTGCCAACTTCATTGCAAAAGTTCCAAGCTTCGAAAGCCACTCTGAGTTCGCCTCTTTTGACAGGAGTAATCAGGAGGGAAAAAAAGAAAAAAAATTCATAAGCCTTACCGGTCGACCAACCGGACGACCCCTTCCCTTTTGGTGCACACTGCTGGAGCTAGCCGTATTAGATTGAGAAAATCAGCTATTTTTTACTCAAATTTGGTGAAAAAAGTAATGAACGGTTGGAGATGCTCTTAGGGTTCGTATTTCTTTCTTCACAGTTTGTCTTTCGTCTCTCTCTTCAAGACGTTTTCTCTCCTCTTTTATTATCTGTCTTTCTCATATGTGCATCTCTTTCTTTCCCTCTTTCCCCTCTTTCATGGTGGCTAACGATGGCCTTTATGGATGTGGTGTGGGTGATTGCGATGGTTGTGAGTAGCGGTGGTTGTGGTGGTCAACGACATGGTGGGTCTTGATTGATGTCCTCTCTCCATCTCTTTTCCCAATTTCTTTACTTCATTCTCTCCCTTCTGAGTTCAAGATCTGCAATTGCAAGCTTTGAATTTCATTTTTTTCGATTTCTTTTCTTCAACTCTCTCTCTCTCAACAAATTTTTGAAATCGACTGATCTGACCGCTGAACCAATTGATTTGAACCGAACAATTTCAAACTGTGAATCAGTCGAAAATGGTTGAATGATTTTCGGTTCGGCTGATGGTTATATTAAAAATAAAGTGGTAAAAGATTTACATAATGCTTGTTCTTCCTATTTTGGCACTATTTTTATTTATTTATTTATTTAATTTACTGTATTGATTCTGCATAACTTCTCTCTATATATGCACTCTTTTTTCTCCAGAACAATCGGCTTGACTTAATAGTAGCACTTTGTGATTTGGACATGGTTTGTCTTTTTGCAGAAGAATTATCACTCAGAGTTAGACCCCAAGCTACATATGTTTGGTTTTGAATTTCAAGTTGATGAACAAGCTAATATAATTTTCTTCTTCAATTACTTTTCGCAGAGGGGGGAGTTGGCTGTTACCAAGTTGCTTGCGTGGTTCTCATCACTTTTCATGGAAAAGATGGTGCTGGTTTAAATGACAAGTATGACAATCCATGAATGCCTTGAAAATCATTTTGTCTATCTAATTAATGAGATCGGCTTTATAGAACGAGTTAAACATGAGAAATTTACTCAAGATTCACAAGAAGAAAAGATTATGAGGTTGGCTATGCTATTGATTGAAGTTTTTGAGAGCACTGGTAATAGTCTTGAGGAATATCTGCAGCTGCAACAACTTGATGTATGTATCAATACATGTTCCATCCTCTTTTGTTTTGCAACCAGGAGGATTTCAATTCATGATTCTCGATTTCATAACTGGTATCTTGTACTCCAAGATTGTGTTTGGATCTTGGATTTGTGGATGACTTTATAGTAGGAAAATAAAATGAAATGGAAACAACAATAAGAAAAGATTAATGAAGTAGAAACTATATTTTTTCTTCTTCTCTCTACTATCCCTTCACAAATCCAATATCCAAACACTACCTAACGTGATTGAGGTCCCAGCTTCTCCAGCCACTCTTTCAATAGTACCTGCTTGTAAAGATCTCAATTTCTCTGGTGGGATATCTCAGCTTCCTCATGGAGATATAAGTTTATGATTGTATGTTGTTAAAATAACAAAATTGTACTCCCATGAGCATGCAGTAATGCATATCAGCACATTATTACATAAAGTAATCATTTGGTTCTTATAGGTGCGGAGAAAACATGTGGAGAACGATAATGCTGAGGCATGTGGAATCTGGCTTTAACTTGAAGGCTGGAGACTTAGATTTTAGCAGTAGAGACTGGTTTGGGAACCTAATACTTAACGTTTGATTGTCTTTTTTTGGATTGTGTTTCTTCTCTTTATGCACATTATTGATCGTATAACTTTTGTGGTTCAGTGTAAGTATCTAAGCTATTATGTCATTGAATGGCTAGTTAACATTTGGGGGTACCCTTATTTTTTACAGGTTCATTTCCTATGATTCCTCTACCAAGTACATAGAGACTCAATTAGGTGATTTATTGACTTCTAATTGAAACTTACTTTTGCTGCATAAGTAATTATAAAGAAACGAAAATGGTATGCGAGTTTCTGACATGTTTTCTTACAAAAGATAAGTTGTCTGAGTCATGGAGTCCTGGCTTGCCCATGCTGCAGCAAACAAATGTGTTTTACCCCCCAAAGGTTAGAAATATTTGTTATGTTTTTACTGTTATTTTTATTGTTTCGTGTTGCTGGGTGTTTTGTTACTTGGATGCTTTGTGCCATAGCAGCCAGCTTTTTTCGCCTTCTATTTTTCCTTGTAAGGCCTGTAGTGGAAACAAAGTAAGAGAAGCGTGAAGTGACAAAATAAGTTAATGACCTACAATGTAGGACAAGATGAGGTTAACTACTCCTACTAGTAGTGAACCCAAGCCTAATAAATGGCAACTGAAAAATAGGCTTTGTGGGGTTGACGTTGGTTGTTGGAGGGTGGATGAGTTGTAAATTATGGGGATTTAAGGGTTCCAAAAATCGCAACAAAATGTAGTGATTTGAGGTTGTTCTTACACCCTTCAATTCTTTGTCACAAAATTTTGGGGTTGTTCTTACACCCTTCAATTCTTTATCTTAAATTTCCTTTCTTTGATAAGTAAACAATTTGATAAACTGAGGCCCCCATGGGAATGCTTCTTGTGTGTGAAAAGATGCCACTGCCAAAAAGTACTTTACACGTTCTTGCATATCTAAAAGCTCTACAAATTCTATACTTGGTCTAGACCTATGGTGTACATGTTCTTGGATATGGGTGTCAGTTGTGGACGTGGGTCTGGGCTTTGGTCGTAAAAAGCTTCTAGGTGGGTAGTGTTGTACTATGAAGTACGGGTATTTCAAAAATATTTCCGTACAAGTACCGGGTACTTACCGGGTGTGGGTACGCGTACCGGTGCGGCTGCACGCGTACCGGGTACACCAAAAACGCACCGGGTACGTTTATACGATCAGTATAATGATGGGTATGTGATGGGTATGCCACGGGTACATTTTTGGGTACTTCGGGGTACAAAATGAGATTTTTTACAAATTAAAGGGTATTGGAGCAATGCTTTGGTCTATTAAAAAAAATTATATAAATTTGGGGTACTTTTGTAATAAACAAGACAAGAAACAAATTAAAATTAGGGTTCTACTCTATTCGATTCTCTCTCTTTTTCTTGAAACACAGAGACTCCCAAGAGCTGAAGAACTTCCTGCGTAGCTATTGAAGAGGTTTAATCGAAGGTGCTGATCGATTCTCTCCTTCAAAGATCACATTCTGGTAAGTTCATCTTCGATTCTTCCTCCTCTTCTTCTTCGATTCTTCTTCCTTTTCTTTCTTCTGTCCAGATTTTTTTTCTTTGTTCTGTCCATCTCTGTTCTCTTTGTTCTTCAATTCTTCCACTTCTTTCATTTTTTTTTTCTAGATTTTTTTTTTCTGTTTCTTCACAGCAAACGATGAACGAAGACATATCATTTTTCATTTTTTTTCCCCCCAGATTTCTGTTCTGTCCAGATTTCTGTTTCCTCTTTTTTCAATTTTTTTTTCCAGATTTTTGTACTCCTCCTTGGCAGCAAACGATCCCCTCCGCTCCAATGACGACTCCTCTTCTCGTCAGGTACACCCTCTTTTCCCTCCGTTTCTAGGGTTTTGAATGTTGTTCTCGTCAGGTAACCCCTTGCATTGCATGGACAAATTTTATTTATTATTATTATTATTATTATTAAAAACTCAATTACCATTGCTAATAGGTGTTGTGTAGAAAAAACTCCGTAATTTTGTTGTTGTTTCCTACTCTTTCATGCTAAACAAACTTACCAGGACAGATTGGTTTTTGAGTCAATGTGAACAACTTGTGTTGAGTTATATTAAAATTTGATTAAGCTAATGGGTGCAGTGTAATAAAACGTTTTTGTTTATAATATCTTTTCTTTGATATACTTATAAAAAACAGAAGAAGGGAAATGAAATCCATATTTTTTATTACACAAATGTGGAGGTTCCCCCCCACAACATAAAATTAATAGAATAATTTCTCCCACACACTTTATGATAATTATCATCCAAGTCAAAATAAAATCTATTTCAATTATTATTATTATTAATTTATTTATTATTATTATTATTATTATTTTTATTTTTATGTTCTCTTTTTTTGTAATTTCTCTTTTTAATTATGTTATTGAATTTAATTTGTATGTTGGATGTTTAGCTATAAATTTAATTTTTTTTTTAAAAAAAAAAATTGGCGTACTCCAACTGTAATTGTACCCTACTTTTTTAAAAATTTGCCGTATCGGCGTACCCGTATTGTACCCGCACTCGTATCCGTACCTGCACCCGTGCTTCTTAGGTGTTGTAAGAGGTAAAAGAAAGATTTGTGTTTGTGAAAAGTAAGAGGGTGGAATTGAATTGATTTCTATAACTTGCAGATTGCATCATATCTGAAATAGTGCAATTAAAGCGACTAGATAATGCTGCTTTATGGATTTTCAGATTAAATTAGTAGCTCATAGATATGGGAATAATTTGGGATGGTTTGTACTTGATAAGCTAGGGTTTAGCAGCTGAAAAGGGCATGTTTGAGGGAGGTGAACAGTAACACGCAAAGATGAAGAGATAGGAGAAGGAAAGTGGCACTTCACCCTCCTAACGGTCATGAAAATTTATATATAATCCAATTTAGTTTCTCACAAGAAGTGTTCAATTGCAAGTGTGAGCCACATATCCCAAACCCTAATCCAAGTGTGAAGTGTCCGAAACGGATATTTAATATATTTTTAAGAATCCATGTGACGTTGGCCAACAGATCCCAAATATATAAAATACTAGAAATAAGGTACATCAATATAACGGGCAAAGACAAGGAATATTCGGTACTATCAAATTGTCTTATGTTTCCTATCCTGCTAACTAAATAAGCCACATCAAACCAAGATGGATAATAATCCAATTATTTCTCTTCCCCACCCTTTTCCCTCTTCAACAACCAAGGCATTTGAGTTGCCAGGAACACCCAAGCCACACTAAACCAAGAGGGGGACCAAAGTTTAAAGCTCCTCAGCCACCGAACAATAGCTGAGTATCTCTTGCACATGTAATCAATTCACAGATAATTTATTAGATAAGTTTTCATTTACTTGAGAGAAGAGATTGGAATTTGAGAGATCTAAACAACATTTAATTAGATGAGAGAGATCTAAATTACGTTGGAACTTAGATGTCAGCATTTAGACAATTGAAATGTCGAAAGATAGATGTAAATTTCCAACTACTCAATCAGTGCCACAAAAACAACAAATCTGGGATGCAGAGACGAGGTGATAAGGATGCAATCCGTTAAACCAGTCCAATAGAAACACGTGTATAGCAGCGTTTAGGTCGGTTTGGTTTCCGCCTGTTGTTTAGTTTTAAAACCATTGACCAACTATGAAATTGAAATTTTGTAAATTTGTAAACTGCAGCCGACCGAAAGTTGGTTGCAGTAGTCTCTTTTCCAAGGTTATCAACAACATTTGACCCATATCTGGCTTGTAATTTTAGGCATATGAGAGGAAAGACCACCTTTGGACTATCCCAAAATAGGTCTCATTTGGTCCGAAAAAAATGATTCCATGATGTCCAGCGACTGGACTAGGCCCAAAGCCTTTTGAGGCTTAGGCCTAATCACCTCTAATTCCACAACATAATTGGTGGTCTTGGAGTGACACAAATCATGGGCACTAACTCCTAAAGTCCCCTAGCTAGGCCCTCCCCGTTCACAATGGGGTTTGGTCGGTGATTCGGTTGTTCGAACACCTGACCAAAATCTGTACGAGCCATCTCTTGAAATCGCATGCCTTGTATTGTTATATGATTGTCACTCCGGTGACTCTGGTTCTGTTTTGTTTGTGGATATGGTTGTATGTTAGGTATAATATCTTATTTATATATATTTAAAATGAATTTCTGTTATCATAGACAAACATGAGTAACTTATTTGTTTTATGAAAACATATTTATATTTGATTATTTTGGTCTAAATGCCTATCCATGGAGATTTTTTGACTCTTATGTTCATTCTGCAGTATGCTCATAGTTAGATCAAAATTAGTTGCACTAATCACTAGTTCATATATATTCAAAAATTAAAAAATCAAAAGTAAATATAAGTACAAATTAGAATTAAACATCAAGAATATAGGCGAAGAAGCCGATAAACCATTAAACGTGAAACTATTGAATTGTTCGAAACTAACACCTAGAAAGATGACGTGCAAACATTAACAGGATAACAAATATTAGACTTATTAAATGTGAAACTATTGAAACATGCTATCTGCGCTTTAAGCCTAAATTAAGTCGTCTCGGCTAAATCATTCTTGCCAAAATAATATCTTACTTTCTCAAAAGTACGGTGAATTGTCGTAGTAGTATTTGAGGTTCGTTCTAGCATCCAATCTCTGGCTCTCGCAGCCAAAAAATTCGTCACCTGGTATCCCTCCCTAGACATGTAATCAAACATGTAATTGTTGAACCTTTTAGGAGGTATTTTTCTGTAGGTACAAAAATGCATTAGTGTAAAAGAAAAAAAAATCATTTGAACGATTTATAAATAAAAATAAATAAAGCAATAATTCATGCTTGTAGAAATCGTAATATTCTACTGGTAATTCGCCGCCTTTAATAGTTTTCACAATGAATGAGTTATTCAATTGTTTTAATATCTACGTGAATACATATTGTCGAGGTAGAAGGAGGCTACATTCGGCAGCTTTTAGCTCAACTTCATATTTGTCGTGTACAAGTCTGAGCCGTATAGGTTGTATAGCTTTAATCGTACTCAAATGATCTTGGAAAACAACCCACTGAAGCATAAACAATCCCATTTGTCTTAATGAATGATATATCTGAGTTGATTTTAATCCAATTCATGGAAGGAGGAATCCAAATATCCCTACTAATTGGTTGTTCTAAAAGCTTAATTTTTTGAATTTTAATTAACTCCTCGAAATGGCCGTACTCATGCGGACTTGGACTCGAAATATGTCCATATACTTATATATGGAAGTGTGTATGGGCTGTGTCAATTTCGATTGTAATCTGTATAAAGTACGGAGGTGGGGTAAATGCTTTTCTTTGAATTGGGTTCACAAACTAATCTCAAATAGGTTGACATACAATAATCCCCATTTCTAACCAAAAAAAAAAAAACTAATCAAAGGTCTTATATAAAAAGGTTTCGTTTTGAAACCTACAAAATTAGAAAAATAATACTAACAATTTTTAAGAAGATATATACATAACAAGGACAATAACACTTATTATGAATTGCTGAACTCCTTTGGAGGTAATTTCTTGTAGGTATAAAAATGCATTAGTGTAAAGAAAAAAAAAATCATTTGAACGATTTATAAGTAACAATAAATAAAGCAATAATTCATACATGTAGAGATCATAATATTCTACTGGTAATTCGCCACCTTTAATAGTATTAACAATGAATGAGTTATCTAATTGTATTAATATATGTGTGAACCCATATTGTTGAGCTAGAAGGAGGCCACATTCGGCAGCTTTTAGCTCAACTTCGTATTTGTCGCGTACAACTCTGAGCCATATAGCTTGTATAGTTTTAATCGTACCCAAATAATCTTGAAAAATTATCCCGTTGAAGCATAAACAGTCTCACCTGTTTTAATGAATAATATATCTGAGTTGATTTTAATCTAATCCATGGAAGGAGAAATCCAAATAACGTTACCAATTGGTTGTTCTAAGAGCCGACTATTAATTATACTCGACACAATAATTTTTTAAATTTTAATAAACTCCTTGAAATGGCCGTACTCATGCGGATAAAAATTCGAAAATATGTCCATCTACTTATATACGGAAATGTATATGGGTAGTGTCAATTTCGATTGTAATATGCATAAAATACGGAGGTGGGGTAAATGTTTTTTTTTAAATTGGGTTCTCAAACTATTCTCACATGGGGTTGACATACAATAATCCCTATTTCTAACTAAAAAACTAATCACAAGTCTAATACAAAAAGGTTCCATTTTGAAACCTACAAAATTAAAAAAATAATATAAACAATTTTTAAGAATATATATACATAACAAAGATAATAACATTTATTAGTACATGAATACTTTTCACTTATTGTATCACCCCTCTTGCATGACATGAATCAGTTAGTAAGTGAAGAGAAGTATTCATATAGTGATGGTTATTAACTTTGTTATGTATATATCTTCTTAAAAATTGATTGTTGTATTTTATTAATTCCGCAGGTTTCAAAATAGTTCTTTTTCGTATGAGACTTGTGATTAGTTTTTTAGTTAGAAATATGGGTTATTGTATATCGATTCCATTTGAGATTAGTTTGAGAATCCAATTCGAAAAAAAGCATTTACTACATCTTCGTACCTTATACGGATTATAATCAAAATTGAAAAGATCCATATACATTTCCGTGAATGAGTATATGGACATATTTTGAAATTGGGTCCGTATCAGTGTGGCTATTTCGAGGATTTTATTAAAGTTCAGACAATTTGTCTTGTATGATTAATAATCTACACTTGGAACAACCAATTGGTTGGCTTATTTGGGTTCCTCCTCTGATGG